CTGTGACAGTTGGAGAGGAGAGAATCATGTGGTATCCCAATCGAATGACCCAGAGGGGTCTGCCTGAACCAGGAAAACCTGCACAGGGTTCACAAACAAAGATGTCTACCAAGACAAAGTCTGAAGAGTTGGGGTGTGGTGGGCAGGGATGATCCCCCCTCCCCAGAGATTAAAAACCTGCTTTGTTGGGGAAGTCCTGTGTATATGTCAATAAAGCACTGTTGGCCAATAGGGAACCAAGAGAGGTGGGACTAAGAGTCGAGGAGGACTCTGGGTAGGAGAAACACAGGAAGTCAAGATGTAACGCCATGGGGTAGGAAGCCCGGAAACTTCTCCCGTAAGAGAAATACTTAGATTAACAATTATGGGGTAATTACTTAAGTCAGAGCTAACCAGTAAGAAACAAACAAGGCCAACAGCTTCATAATTAATATAGCCTCCTGTGTGTTTATTTGGGACTGATGCGGCTCTGGAACCAGGCTGGCAGGAAGGCTTCTCTTTACACTGCTTGAGGGAGCTGTGGCTTGGGGGGGCGGTTAAGGGTCAGGGGCCAATGGGACAGGCTTCAAGTCAATGCCCCGAGGGATCTCTGAGTTCGTCCTAAACACTAAGAAGATGGGAAGCCACAGTTGAGTTTTATTTTTGTCTTTTAGCTATATATTTTAATTTTATGTGTATGGGTGTCTTTGCCTTCATACAGGCATGTTAACGTGCTAGGTGTACAAGGGCACCAAATATAGAACGTGGATCCCCTGGAACTCACTACAGCCCATTGGCAGCTGCCATGTGGGTGCTGGGAACTGAACCCAGCTCCTCTCTCAGCAAGAGCCACCCCGGCGATCTTCACCACTGGGCCATCTCTCCAGCCCCAGCCACTGCGCTTGAAAGAGAGCGGTGCGGCTGGGTTTTCACTAAGGAGCATCACCAGGCACTGGGCGGGCGATGGATTGAGGGGTTAAACGGAAGAAGAGCTACTAGTTAGGAGCCATTTGGTTACCAGGCACTAGTGGAGAGGACCGTGGGTCAGGAGGCTTCCAGTGACTACACAGCGACTGAAAACAAAACAAAACAAAACACTCAAGATCAAGCTGGAGGGGCAGAAGAAACTGTATATGAGAGAGGGGACAGCTAACGGTTTGGGGTAACCCGGGACATGACAGCATCGCTAAGATAGCAAATGGGAAGTCTGAAGATGAGGGGACACGGGTTCAGAGTCAAGAGAGCTGCAAGGGAGTCGAGAAAGGGGTTCAGCAACCAGCTGGATCCACGAGGCGCGGCACCACTGATGAAGACAGTTTTGGATTACTGACGTCAGGGCTGGAAGGATGGTACAGTGGTTAAGAGCACTTGCTGTCTGCCATTTCAGGGGACCTGTCAGCACACAGCCAGCAGCAACTCCACTCCCAGAGGATCTGGGATGCCTTCTTTTGGCACTGCACGCAGCGTGGAACACAGACAGTCATGCAGGCAAAACATTCACACATATAAAGTAAAACGAAAAAAAAAAAACTAAATTATCAGAGTCGAATATGCTATTTAAAAAAATGTTTTGTGGAAAGGGGGTATGTTCTAGAACTGTGCTGTTCAAGATGGTGGCCAGAGGCCACAGTTAAGCTACCTAGACTTGAATTATTTAAATAAAATAAGGGGATTGGAGAGATGGCTCAGCAGTTAAGAGCAGTGGCTACACTTCCAGAGGACCTGGGTGTGATTCCCAGCAACCACATGGCAGCTCACAGCTGTCTGTAACTCCAGTTCTAGGAGATCCAATGCCCTTTTCTGGCCTCTGTTGCCAGCCATGCACAGAGTACAGAAATACACATGAAGGCATATACTTGAGTTTGGTCTGATTTATACAGGTCTCCTGTCTTCTGAAACCACCTGGAACTTACACCATCAGCTCTCCCAGGTGTAGACTGCTCAGCCTCCATAACCATATGGCCTGACTCTCTATCCTAACACACACACACACACACACACACACACACACACACACACACACACACACACTTAGTACTGTTTCTCTAGAAAACCCTAAAAAATACCAAAGAAGGCATAGGCAAGGGAGTGGACTCACTGTGAAAAAAAAACTATCAGAAAAACTAGAGAGATTAAAGTCATATGAAACCAAGTGCCAAGAGAATGTCAAGTCTCTATGTGGATTTTGACAAAGAGAGGGGAGAGGGATGAAAATGTGGAAAGAGAAGAAGAGGAGGCTAGCGGGGGGGGGGGGGGTGAGAGTCTGTTGCAGAAGCCGAGGAAGCCGGTGAGATGCCTCAGTGGGTAAATGTCTCGCAGCATAAGCCTGGCAGCCCAAGTTCTATCACAGGAACCCATGGGAAGGTAGAAGGAGAGAGCCAGCTCCACCCAAAGCTGTCCTCTGACCTCCACACATGCGCCCCGCGTGACAATAAATACATTATTCTAAAATCCCAGTTATGTGCATTTGGAACGTCAAAGGAAAACAGGCTCTTTTTAAATTATAAGACAGAGAATAGGGAGAGGGACTCTAGACAAAGAAGACCTAAGAACGCAAGTATTACCTGCACGCCGACAACCCCGGGCCAACGAAGACACTGACCTAAGTGGTCAGCAGATGCTCGCCCAGTACTCAAGATCAGAATCTGAGCCGCCAGGATCACTATGGTGGCTGACACGGGCTGTCAACTTGACAACAGAGTTCCCTGGAAGACAAACCTCAGGGCTCATCTTGAGGGAGTTTGCATTGGGTTGACCGACTGGGATCTCACACTAGATGTAAAGGAAAATTAACTGAGAAAAACGGCTCTCCTCTCTCGGTTTCCAGACAGCAAGGGGCCGCAATGTGACCAGCTCCCTCCTGCCCCTGCTGCCACACCCTATTCTCCATGACGGATCCCTGGAACCCAACCAACCTTCCTTCCTCAAGCTGCTTTTGTCCCAACAGTGAGAAAGTTAACACAAACACCATGCAGGCCAGGCTTCCAGGACAAAAGACGTTTAAGAAAAATAAAGCTTTATAAAATATATTAACGACTAAATTGAATATATTTGTATAATATGTAATAGAGTTATTTCACCAAAATGTATCTAAAGCTCTTGTGTGCCTGGGTGCCTGAATTGTGAGTGTAATATCAAATGCATTAAGCGCTCGAGAGCCTCGGGGTCGGCGACCTGCAAAGCGGCAAATCCTGTGTCCACGAGCCTTCAGTGAGTGAGCTTTCCTCTTTGGTTTATTTCCAACCCAATTTAGTCAGCAATAGGTCACGCAGAACAGTCGGGTTACTCCCTTCATAGTTCAGCTCCGTCAGTGTGTGACTCAGAGCCCTGCTTCCTATTCTGCTCAAGGTTAGTATTAGCTCCTTCCGGAAGGAACATGGAGGCAGAGTACCTGAGGCTGAGAGGGAAGGAACCCTCTGGATCTCATGGGACGTCTCCAGGCTGTGAGGGTGAGCATTCTGTCTTGAGAATGAAGGCATCCGTAAGACATGGCCTTGCAGGACATCCTGCATGCCATTGCCATGGCTTTCACTATTTTTCCCAAAGACTTTACAGACACCTCTTGCCTTCCAGATGCTGGGTACCGCTACTGAGTAAAACCTCTATCTTTTTTAAAGATTTATTTTAATTTTGTGTGTGGGTCTGTGCGTATGAGTGAAGTACCCTCAGAAGCCAGAAGAGGACATCAGACCCCCCCCCACTGCCCGGAACTGGAGTCCCAGATGGTTGTGAGCGTACACGTGGGTGCTGGGAGCCATCTCGCCAATCCCCAAATGCTTGTCTGTAAATATATGCATGCATATACTCACTCCTTCCAACGTGTTGCTTTGCTGTGGATGCTCTGCGTCAGCTTTTACTGAGATAACTGCCCTTCTCTTTATTGAAACATGCTTCAATGCCTTTATTCTGTCTCAATGATGTCTAAGATGCATTTGCCTTAGTCTCATGCGCTGGGTAGAGTTTAATCCACATTAATCTTTTTTTTCCCTTCTCTGGCATTTCACAGTCCGCCACGAGTGCAGACACTGACTTTTGTTTCCTTTTGGGCCATTCTTTGGGTTGGCAGAACACTGTTCATACTCAGAAACACTGATTTCCTGCGAGATTCTCATGTATCAGCTGCCACATTTACAAGGCAAAATATATGTGCAGTGCTTAAGACACCTACGGAGGGAAGTGTACAATTAATTTCCCAGTCACACCTACAGATGCAGAATGCGGCTTTGCCCCTCATCTGTCTGCTAAACTAGTACCAGCAGCATCTGTCAAAAATGAAAATGGCAGCGTCACTCGGAACTGGCAAGGGCGTCTGGGAGGAGGGGGACCTGACGGCTCATCTATAGGACGGTAAGAGTTGGTACGCAGTGAGCTGTGATCGTGAGAGGACCCTTAACCTGACAGTTTTATCTGACAGGAGAATTCATCCCGATTATGAGATCCATATCGATACGATTTGTATTGAAATGATTAACGATTGAACAAATCATGAAGTACCCACATAAGGGCTCTACACAGGCCTGCTGGCTTGGAGGGGTGGCTGAAGCACCACCACGGCATTCACCGTTTGTGGCTACGCGGAGCGTGCACACACAGACAGCACCAAGACGGCATTCACTGTGAGTGTGCGTGCACAGACAGTGCCACGGCATTCACTGTAAGCCGCTGTGCTGAGTGTGCATGCTCAAACAGAACATGCTTAGAGAAGTGAGTCTCACCGTCAATTTTTTAGCTATTTCCTCTTATCCGGATTTTGTAATTTATCTATAATAAATGCCTGGACCTTTATAGTCACAACACCCGTTTGTCTGTCCATTCATCTACCCATCCAACCAACCAACCAACCGTTCATGTAAACGACGGTTTTGCAGCCTCCCCGCCCCTGCCCCCAGTCACGCTTCCTGGAGACACGGAGACTTTGAAATTGCCTGCCAAGAACTGCTCGTTTTGAGTGAATCGGGTGACCACCATCCCCGCCAAACCAGCTTCTCCTTGCTCAGAGGAGAGTGACGGATCCTGCTCACCAAGCTCTCCCGGACACAGGGCCTCTCCAGCAGCCTCTGGACTCCACTTTCCACGGTGACTCCCAGCCAGTTGAGCGCTGCCCAGCACCAGAGGTCCTCATAGCTGCCGTGCCAGTAGCTCACAAATGCAAATGTCATCGCAGTAGAGAGCAGTGTCCCCAGCAGGCCACGCTGGGACCCACCCAGTGGAATGTACACGTACCTGGAGAAAGAAGGGGCTGTGAGAAGCTATGCTGATGGACGGAGGGATGTGCCTGCCCCTCCATTCTCTGGCTTGACTCTCTCGAATGCCAACATCGTTGTTTACGGTACAAAGATCCCACTTTCCAGGAGTCTGTAGGGTAAACCTTGAACTCGCCCTCCACCTGGCTGGTCATTGGCAACACCCCAGACCTGCACAGGGTGTGGCTTTGGTTCAGATGAACATACCCACCAAGGAGCATTTACTGCGGGAAAACTGAGCTTACAGAGGCAAGAGGGGCGGCGATGGGTTGGCAGCTGTTGAACGGATGCATCCAGCCTTGGAGCCCATCGTGGGGAGCCTACCAAGCTGCTGGCATTGGGAGGGCCCTGGCCATCACGGCAAGTGTGGTATTTACAGCTCAGACCACTAAGTTCATGGTAAAGCCATGCCTAAAATAACGGTAAAGCCATTATTTAGACACAGTTGCTAAGTAAAAGCAGGCCCTTACAGGTAGCACAAGAAGGGTAGCAGGGACGGTCTCAGATTCCCAGGCAAGCGGCCCAGAAGCAAGTGTAGGGAGGACCTCTGCACTCACAGGTGTCCTGGGCCAATCAATGCCCCACCCTCGGCACCAGGGCATGGTGTCCTCAGAGCTGTCTCCATCCCTGGGTGACTAACGCCTAGGTATGAGATGTTGGGAGCTCAGGAGCTCGTCCTCCTCAGCGGTCTCTAAAAGACCACAGGCCTCCTCGGTTCATTCTGGTCAGCTGAGCTTTGTCCCATTTCTCTCCCAGGAGGGGACGTGGAGAGGTCTTTCTGACCTCTTCTGAGGCACTTCACAGGGGTCGTTCTACTTGATTCCTTAAAGCCTCACACCTGTCATCCCAGAACCCTGTTGGTTTAGCATTTGTACCGTACATGCACTACGTTCTCACTGTGGAGGAAGTTTTATTTAAAAATCGTTTTTTTAAACAGAACGACTTCTCAGAAAAAGAAGACAAAGTTAAATAAAATCAGCCTGGCCAAAAGACAAATGTCAAAAGTTATGTGAGTTTTATTTGAAATAATTTAAACAATGCATAAAATTAAGCAGAGGCACTGAGTGACACAGGTCAACAGATGTGTGTACATCATGCACTGTAGTTGGCCCTCAAACTCTGTTTTCCCCTCTGAAATCCTGGGCTAGAATTCAGGATCCTGTGCTTGCTGGGAAAGTGATCCACCATATCCCCAGCCTCCTTCCCAACTTCTGTTTTTCTTTGTAACGAAAACGTTCAGAATCATTTCTCCAGGCTTCTCTAAACACGCACATGTCCTCAGTCATCACCTTCAAGTCCCAAAAAAGCCTGGCACAAGTTTCACGCAGCACCTGTGGCTCCTCCCAGCTTTTCTCACAGCCCTATGCTAAAGCCCCTCCCAGAGGCTGGGCTCCCCACCCCACCCCACCCCACCCCACCCCACCCCACTTCTGATTCCTATATAACTCAGTTTTTGGCTGCGTGCCTTATTGGTTCCCATGTGATCTCTTGGTCCTCTTGGTCTCCTCTCCTCTCTTCTCTCCCCCCATCTCCCTCCTCTCATTGTCCAGTCTGTTCTGCTGGCCACACTCAGTCTGGACCCTTCTGGAAGCTTCTGGCCATTGTCTCCCTCATCTCTGCAATAAAACTCTTCTCCTCAACAATACCTTGGGGCGGTCATGTCCTCATTTTCATTCAGTCACCTTACTGTGCACCAGGACACTCTCAGGCTTCTCAGGCTAGCTAACTGGGGTGGGGACTACTTTCGGCAGTGCCTGAGGGTGAATTCTAGGTCTCTGACACGGGACTCTGCCACTAAGCCCCACACCCAGCTCCTCCTCCACAGACTCTCGCTGTAACCTTGGCTTGGTGTTCACAATTGTCTGGCCTGCACCACTCAGTTGTAGCAAGAATGCTGCTAGGTCGGTTTAGGGAATATCCCCCCTTGCCCCCACCCAATCACCCTTGATATCCTGATTCCTTCCCCCTCCCCCAGCCACCTCAGCCTGGCTTCCTTTCAGCAGGGATCCAATTAGGTTGGAGACTGAGGTGGTAAGCTCAGTAGACAAAGTACTTCCAGTGCAAGCGCAAGGACTGAGTTCAATTCCCAGAGCACTCTCTCTCCTCCGAAAGTGTAATTTCAAAGACACGCCTAATTCCAGGGCCAGGGAAGCAGAGGAGGGTAGCTCTGTGCTTTAGGCCAGTGACACACCTGCCTCTAAAAGACAGGTTGACAGCACCTGAGAAATGACACTGAAGTAGTTCCCTGGTCTCTACACGTGTTTGTGCACACATGTGCATGTGCCTGCATGCATGTACACCTACACAAAGAATCCCATTGGGTCTATTCAACCAGAGCCTCCCTGAATCCCAATGTTTCTCCAGTAGTTTTCAACTCTGTGTATCCCTGTGGGTTTGCATCTCTTATCCTCGTCACAACTGAGTCCGGCTTCATTCTGAGTCTTCCTCCATGCCCCCAAATCTCAGTAGTCCCTGTACAAAACAGCCCTTAGCACCGTAGTGTTCACCACCACCTTCCTGTAAAGTCTTTCACTTTCAAATGCCCTTCCAGTTTAGATGGTAAGTCATACAATCACCTCAACCAATTCCATTTTTATGGGCAAGGAAACAGGCTGGGAAGTTAATTTGATGAAGAAGCCCATCAAAGAGGAGAAAAGCCAAGGCATACCCTACACCGGGCCCGCCAAAGCTAACGCCTTCTTCGCAAGGCACAGCCTACAATAGCACCGCCAAAGCTAAAGTCTTCCTTGCACCTGTGGCTCATTCCAAACATCCTCCGCCTTTCTCCCTAGTCAGAAAGAATGCTGAAGCCATGTGACATCAGAGAAGCCAAATTAGTGGCTAGGCACCTATACACTAAGTGGCTATGTATTAAGGCATGCTCATGACGGAGCTGAAGAAGGCTCAGCTGCGAGCATAAGGACCCAAGTTCAGTCCCGAAACTGAAAAACTAAAATGAAATCTAAGACAGGTGATCACTAGGTAAGCTCCTGGGAAAAGGGAGACCACGCCTCAAAAGCAACCAACAGCAAAACAATGTGGCTGGTCCTGAGAGACAACGTCCAAGGCTATCCTCTGGCTCATACACACACGTGCGCGCACACACACATACCTGCACGTGCGTGCACAGACAAGGCTGTACACACATGTGCATGGACACACAGGGAGTGCTCCTTCTGTTTCCAGCATTGACTTGTCAGTCCTCCTAGGCATTTGGGCTTGTTCTTGGTCAAATTAACCTAAGAGGACGTTGCTTTGGTTTCATTACTTAGTGTGGCATTGGTGCATTTTGGAGCCTCTGGGGTCATCTTGAATGCTTTGATTGATGTACATCTTCATAATGGAACATTATTTTCCCAAAGCAAGATGTCATGGTGCCAGATCCATCACGAAGGCTTCACACAGTGGGAGAGATGGGGGGGGGGGGGTGAAAAGCCTAGTGGAGCACAGGAGGCCGGACCACAGAGTGTCCCACTTTGGTAAGGCACCGAGGAAGAGGTCCTCTGAGCAGAGGGAAGGCTGGGTGTTGCTGGAGGGACACCTAGGAGGAGGGGGACAGTAAGCCTGAGAACACCTGCAGGGGGACAGGTCTTACTTGGAGCTCTGCTGCCCCCTAGAGGCTGCCTGGCTATCGGCGTGCAATAGAGACGGAATACTGGCTGGAATCTCCTGCGGGCAGGATGCTACTGTTTGGTACCATAACATTGAATGCCTTAAAAAGATGATCATTTTCAAAAGCATGAAGGATGAATGCAGCTTTTCGATATTTACAAGCCTGATTACATGTTAAGACTGTATGCACTAAAGAAAAATAAGCCTCAGAAGTGTCATAAAACCCAATACAGAATAAAAGCCTGTGGTGCCTCCCACCAGTGAAATTTGGCATTGAATCCAAATCCAAAAGGGACATGTCTGAGAGCCCAGGATGCTGCAGCAGCCGCCCCCTCCTCACATGTAGCTATACGTTCTTACTTCGCTTCTGAAACTGACAACTGACCAAACGCAGTCCCTGAAAAATTCTTTATATTCCAGGAATTAAGATATTGCGGGTTCCCAAGGACACAAACAGAAGGAGGGTAGACTCTTCACTCTTCATTTCTGGAAGACAGTAGGTTTGGCAAGACGAAGGGAGGGGGCTCCCTCTTTCACACATTCTGCCAGCCAGGTTCCGTGATGAGCAGGAACAGAAATGCACACGAGCCTCTCGGATGAGCTGCACAGCCACTGACCTCCCAGTGGAAGACACACTCAGAACAACAAAAACCCCCGAGTGTGTGAGACATAAACCCTGATCCTGCCCGGCCAGTCCTGTGCAGTCACTGTGTGCAGAGAATGCTGATGGGGCTCGGCACCTCTCTGAAGGTACCACTTCGTGCACACAGAATTAACACAACATGGATGCCCCAAGCCAGCAGGAGGCTACCTACAACAGGTAGATGTCATTCACAATGCCAAGTGCTTCCAGCAGCCGGTAGACAGTCACTAAGATAAGTTTCAGGGAAATAATGACAAAGCTTGTTTTTCCCATGAGAGGTTCAAGTTAAACCTGGTGTGTTCTCTGTTACCACCAAGACAATGGGGGGGGGGGAGTCATCCTCTGCATCAAACATTCCACTTATGTAGTTAGGTGTGCAGATTTCTTTCCATTGACATACCCACTAGTCTTTTTTGAGACAGGACTTCTCACTGTAGCCCCAGCAGGCCTGAAACTCATGGCAATCTTCTGGCCTCAGCCTCCCCAGTGCCGGGATTACAGGTATTTGCCACCATGCATTGCTTTTTATTAACTAAAAACCGGTCATCTTGCTTGGGGAAAATAATGTTCCCTTATGAAGATGCACATCAATCAAAGCATTCAAGATGACCCCAGAGGCTCCAAAATGCATCAATGCCACACTAAGTAATGAAACCAAAGCAACATCCTCTTAGGTTAATTTGACCAAGAACAAGCCCACATTGCAATTCTTCATTTCTCTCCCT